CTGTATTTTAATATATAACAGCATATCTTTACGCCTTTACCATGAGAGATGATGACCTTAGCATTCCAGCATACCACTTCAAGAAAACGCGTGATCTTTCCATCTGAAGGGCCAACAGTTTGTGTCTGCTACTGCTACTGTCTGTTACGTCACAGCTTTTATCACTGCTTGGGCCCTGATAGTGCGTGGGTGACCACTTTTGTTTCTGTCTTCTACACTTGAATTTTCATTATATCTTTTGATGGAGCAAAAACAAATCGTTTGGTTATATTCAAAATGTTCAATAGTTCGAAAATCAGATTTAGTGCGTAACCGCATCAAAACAACGCAATAACCACAGTTTTGACTTCCACTCCAATTTACAAAATAAATAGTTAACATTTTTATTATCATAAAACATTCGAAATTCGAATTCAATAAATAGTTATTTTAATACAGTTGCTCAAAAATTGGCGTATTGCAGGAACGTATAGCGTTCGGGATGTGGGCTATTACATACTCGAGCTTTTTCTTTACCTGTTCCGAACTCGTGCGTTCTCTTTCCCGACTGTCAAAATAATGTCTTTTAAAAAGAAAAAAAGCAACCATGAAGATTTTACAAAAAATAATCATACAAGTTTTTATGATTCATGCAAATATTTCTAAAAAGACGCTACTAATTTGTTTCAATGTCAGATTTAATGATTTGATTCAATGAGCTAGGTTAAATTTCATTTCATTTCATTTCATTTCATCTCATTAAATTTCATTTTCATTTCATATCAATAAAAAAATCTACTGAAGACTTGGCTGTATGGGCATAGTTCCCTTTGCCTACCCAGAATGGGTGAAGAAAACAAAAAAAATCTCTGCTTATATTCTTTTACGGTTGGCGCCATTTTCCAAAAATTTTCTTTATTCTGTGTTTTATTATTCTATTAAATTGATTCATTTTTTCGCAACTGTATTAAAAATAGTTGTTCAGTACACGTGCGGAACCGTCATTTTTTCCAACTGTCAACCCTCACATTCGGCTACGCCTCAACTCGGGTAGACATTTGTCGGACTCTTTGCAATGACAGGCTTTCCGAACTCGTAATGAAATAAATACTATTGTGGCCAGCACTCAAAAATTCAAAAAGTTTCCCTCTCTGACGACTGTTAACATTATTTTTAATCTTTTGACACATAAAGAATGGAAATATAAGTTAAATTAGCTCTATAAATAATATAAACTGAAATCCCTTACCGTGCTCATATCTAAGTGCTTTCGGTTTCAAAATTTTGATGTGGAAAGTTTTATAAATCTTGGTTAAATGCCTTTTAACTATCCCTTTAAAACATACACGTTAAAAATTAGGTTTGTTATTGAATTAAGAAAAATTATTATATTAATTATTTGCCTTTTTTTGAAATAGAAACTTTTGCGTAATTACTAGGTACTTTTTTTATTTTATTAAAAAGAAAAACAAGTGTGTTCAATATTACTACATCGTTCATTCTTTTTTTTGTCATAAGCGGTAAAGTGGCCGGTTGCGAATTGCCCAACGTCGAATTATCTAAACAACGGTTTCTTTGTTATTTTCCGTCCGGAAAATTGCATGGAAGCGAATGCGACAATCAAACCGGGCCTTTTGTTAATGCGTTGCCGTTAGACGTCCCATGGAAACAGGTATTGCCACAGAAGCCACCCTATAATTTTTGCACTAGTGTTGGAATAGCTTATTATACACGGACAGCGTTTGTATGGATTATAAACGCTTCAGCAAGCCTACGTGGATAATGGAAAGCTATTTGCAAGGCAATAAGTGAGGTATGGCGCGGACTACGCAAAGCTTCTTGAATATTTTACACCATGAATTGATGTGACACCTCTACGTTTCAACATATCTATAAATTAATAGACGGAGGGAAATTATTTTCTGATATGATTCATGATTGTAAAATTTATTTTAGCATAAATAAATTTTACAATCATGAACGCAATTTATGCTAAAATAAATTTTTTAAAGATGAGAAAAGACATCATTTACGACGATGTCATTGTGATTATCCATTACAATTATTAACGTAACATTAAAATGCTTAATTTTTAAGGAAAAGTATTTAAAAATTGACTATTTTTTATGCCTGTATTACAACGTGTAAGCATATGTAACAATTAAGTTATTCGGTAGAAATCTAAGCATCGGTAAAGTTGAAATAAATATCATAAAATTGACAGAGGAAATGTAATCGGTCTCTATTCGTATGAATATTAAAATTAGGTAAATTTTATTTCGTTGTATATATACAATGGATAAACTCTTCACAAACGCAGCGCTATAACATCCCTGTGTGGGTTAAGTTATATAAAGCATACATATTATCTCCTCACGCAAAGCCGTGTCAATATATTTCATAACCGATATGAAATCATACAACAAGCACACTAAGTAGGTACTAGATGACAGACCTGTACTGTTAAGAAAGAAATGACCATAAGGGAATTTTATGAATCTCATATGCCTTGGAAGATTTAGTCGATCTGGATATTAATTGTGGAAGAGCCACAGTAAATATCCATATAGCAGCTTCTGGCAATAGACCGTTGTGAAGTGAAAGCATTATTCTTCAAGTTTTGTCTAGTGAGTAAGGTAACCGGGGCAAACTTTTTAAAGTTGGCTACGCCTCTGAAACCCGTCAAATATTGTGGATGTCAAAGTAAGTAAAAGTAATCACTTAATATGAGCCGAACAGCTGGTTCGTTGGTAACTTTTAACCAAAATATATAAGAAATAAACAGTTAGTCAAGTCTATAAATTTAACTGTTTATATAGCATTTTCTTAAGAGAAAATTCTTTAAAAGTAATTTGAAATCATGGAATTTCTTTTGACAAATTTAACGGAAATGTTTAGAAAAACAAAATGAGACCTTGTCGGACAGATTACCGTTATAAGGGAATTCTCTTGAAATGTTTTTAAATAAGTCTCATCTTCTACAATTATAACGGATTGTATTTATCCGATCATTCTTACGTTCTTTTAACTGTAAGACTTCATGGACCGTAGTGTCCGGGCACTGAACTTATTAGATGAACCGATGGACGGTGGAGGCTTTTGCCCAACAGTGGGAAATATATAAGCACCATTCGACACTGTAATACCAATACTAGCTACAATAAATTGGACTAGTTAAATATGCACTTAAAGTGATTTGCTACAGTCGGTCACTGAGTATTACCTTCGGGGGCTGCTTTCCTTCTCTGTGTAATCACTGCTATCAGAGATGGCCGCGTCGCTTGGGGGTACATTTACGTCATTATGAGAAGAACGCCGTGGAAACTTCGTTTATAGTCTAATGCTCAATCGAATCGCAGCCAACTGCCGTAACTCTCGACATTAACGGTAACTGCGCCGTCCAAAGCGATACAGTTTTCTGTTTACAGTTTCAAATAGGAAACGAAATAGTAATCTCTTTTCGATATCGAGTCGAGGGCACCCTCTCCACAAGCCGCCGCCTCACGGCCGGCGTACCACAAGGCTCCTGCCTCTCACCCCTGTTATTTACGCTCTACACGAGCGACATACCCAGAGACCCCCACGTCAATCTCGCGCTTTTCGCGGATGACACGGCGCTCTTTTACTCAGATCGCAACCTCAGCCAATTAACGACTCGACTCCAAAGCGCCGCCGACCGCCTCGGCGATTGGTTCCGCAAATGGAGAATCGATATTAACCCAGAGAAAAGTGTGGCGATTCACTTCACCCCGTAGCACCCCCAACCCCCATCCGCCACACCGTTACAAAGGTCCTCGCCAGTACAGAAAGTTGGGGCAAATATCACTATACGGCCAAACTCTCCCCTGGGAGAAAACGGTCAAATATCTAGGAGTCACTTTCGACTCGCGTATGACTTTCACTACGCACATCAATCAAGTCCGAAATAAAGCCGCGTTCGTCTCCGGCCGGCTACATAATTTAACGAATAAACATAGTAAAATGCCCTTAAGGCACAAATTATTGTTATATAAAGCTTGCGTAAGGCCAATCATGTCCTACGCATGCATGATCTTCGCACACATAAATCCTACGCGCATTGACGAATTGCAAGTAGTTCAAAGTAAGTTTATCCGCCGCGCAACCGGTGCGCAATGGTATCAGCGCAACGTCGACCTGCACAGCGATTGCAGACTCCCGACGATTCGCGCTCATTTTAAAGATTTGACAAAACGGTTCTTCGATAGAGCCCAGCATCATCCCAACCCTCTGGTGGTAAGCGCAGCAAAACTACCTACCGGACACTAACGCGAACGTTAACAAGCGTCGCCCGCGAAACGTCCTCATCGACCCGGTCGACGAAGAGGACTTAGACACGATGGACCCACCGCCGGGGGTCCCGCCGGATAACACTACACCCACAGTTAGTGTAACAACAATCACACCAGTTCGCCCTCGCCTCCGAGCACGGCGAGACCCACACAACGCGTACACAAGGTACACCCGCGTTCCGGGGCGGTTCTCACCGCTCCCAGCCACCGATTAGCTAAATGCACAGTCGACGGCCGTCGGGGTCTCGGTCCGAACCGGCGACCTCGACGGCCCTTAGATGACACACCATAGTAGTTAAACGCACGCATGAGCACATGCGCGACCCTACCCATAGCGGAGGGTCCAAACCCGTGGGTTCTGGCTAGCCCACCGGTTCTGCGTCCGATGAAGCTTTAATAGTCTCGGGACTGAAAGCAAAAACATCAGTTAATACAAGATACAAGACAAGAAATAGTAATTTCACACAATCCAAAGTCATCTAACGTTAAAAACATTAACCGTTTAACTGATATTCTTACCGTACATGGGGATCAAGGATGAAGTTCAATTCAAGTCGTGATCATAAATTCGAGAGAGGCTATAAATTCGAAAGAAGGTACGAAATGTGCATGCATTGTTTCAAGAGTAGGTAGGACAGTGCTGCGATATTAGCATAAAAGTCTCGATATCAGGGCGATGGTTATTGGCTTCCACGAAATTCCTCACGAGCCATGGACACGGATTGCGAGCGTAAGGCTTGCGGAGGCAGGGGCGGGGCGGCATCGGCGATTGGACCTAACAGCGCCAATGCGCGCGCGCCACCCAGTAGCTGCCGACGCACGGAAACACAGCCTTACGAACGGATTGCCGCACACATACCCGCTTAAGTACCTCGAATTACGCACACACGCAACTACAGTCATCCTTGGAGACAATCATTGATGCAGCGATTAATGCTGAGATCGAGAAGAGCAATAAACTAGCCACCTCCCGAACCGGCAACAGGCTTCCTAACGTTTAAATATCCAATATTACCGATAATTGCACCTGCGGCGTCATTAAAGCTCCCTGAGCCGGGTCTATGTTGATTACTCGCGGTTATCGAGAATTTAAACCGAAGCCCGCCCTATCGCCATACGCGGGCCGCGGCCACCGCTCCGTAATAACCATGATAACGCCTGAAATTATACGATTTGTGTGGAATTTTGTTGGAAACGGCGAAAACATTACGGCAAACTACAGGGTTGAAACGACGCCGCGCGGCGCGGCCCGCGGCCAGTACCCCCACGCCCATATGCAAATTAAATGTAATCAAAATAATCATTCGCAACAGCGAAGTGGCCGCAATCCACCTCTCCCTCTAACTGAGGAGCGACGGCTTAAACACGAAAGAAAAGCCCATTCCGTGCCGACGGAAATGCAAATGGCCCACGCCCGATTCGCATTTTATTTTTCGTATTGTTCCAACTTCGTAATTATACGCACGGTACTGTTTTAATGCACGAAATTGTCGTAGAGTTTCTTATTTGGGCGGTGATTATACGGTGAAATAATTGTCGAAATCTAAATGGTCGAATGGGCCGAACGGTAGCCCGATGCTAATACTTGGCGTAATAATGCAATTATATACAGAGTTAAAAATAAACAGTATACTTTTTTTTATGTGAAAAGTTGCCAAGCGAGACGGTTCACCTGATGAATACCGCCGCCCATGGACATTTCCTACACCAGCGTGTGGCAGATGCGTTGACAATCTTTTGGAAATTAGGCTCCGGCCACCTCACTCATAAGACGAAACATGAACGTATTATACTTTCACTTTACGCCGGTCTTCTGTGAGGTCGTGGTACTTACCCGGACGAGCTTGCCCAATTATGCAACAGCCGAGGCTGCTGCGTGGCCCTACCACCGTAGAAATACTGCAGACAATAATTATTATAATTGTAATAAAACTATCTTTCGATTAATTTGGTTTTAAATTCTTAACAACTATGAACTATATATGAGGCTAGTGATTTACGACTGAGGAAGAAATTAAACCGACAGACATGTATGTGTTGTATATTAAGTGTCTTTAGAGATTTATTATTTGTTCATATCATAGGACCATACTGCCATTTTGTCATGTAATTGTATGGGCTCGTAAAATAAATTATTTTACTACTGTGCACATTAAAATGTTGAAATGAAGAAATCGAAAAGTGCAATAAAAACAAAAATAAAATAGATAAAAAAAGCGAAATTTTCTCGCCGGGAGAATATCGAGAATAGCTTAGTGGATGCAGCGCCTGGGTGCTTTACCCTGCACATTATTTATAAAGAACAATGCCCACTTCCCATACATTTAAAAACCTGATAATGAAAGTGTATGTATAGTTACAAGGTATAGCAGAAAGACTACCTTTAAGTTAGTAAATTAATATCATATAGTCAGCTTTACGATTGCTGGTCTACGAAGTCCAAAAATTATTAAAAAAAATTACTTTTTAGGTTAGGATTTGCAGTTACCTAATATAACGAAATAAATGTGCTAGAAGTAACTATCTACGCTCAAGTTTATTCTAAAATAATTATATTAGCCTGTCTAAGGTCTAAAACGTCTTTTTTACTTGTGAATTCCTAGAAACCGACTGCCCTTACGTCACTGCTTAGACTTGATTATTGTCACTATAAATTGAGTGAAGAGCATTATCTGCTGTTTCAACAGCTCACATAAGTACTTACTAAAAAACTCAGAAAAAGTTGAATACAGTCAATTAGGTAGTGTGAAAAATGGAACGTCCTATGCAAAGGATTGTTAAGGTGCGTTCAAAACATGTTAATATGTTTACCCTTGAAGTAAAATAAGCGTAAAGAAATATCAAAAAATATTTTTTCCCCGACCTTCTTTTAACATTGTGATTAGTGTAATTACTATAAAATGAAATTAGCTAAATTTTAATATTTATTTTACTTCTATACACAATCAGGTCAAAAATGGGCATTGTTCTTTGTGTCTAAAGCAGCCGCTGAAACTGCGAACTGAGAACGAATGTTTAGAAGTATCTTCAATTATTTCTTTACATAGGTAGGTACTATAGAGTTGCATCGTAGGCGACCAATAACCCATACACAATTCGTAATGTCCGAGACCCTTAGGTAACCCACGATTTTCAAGAGATATGAGTGGCCATGACATGACCTGGTATATCAAGGTTTTTCCGAAACAAAGCAAATTTAAATATATTTCATAACAAATGATGTTTGCTTTGCTACCATATCGCTGTACGTTGTACAAATCATAACCCCGTGCGCGAAAACCCCCTGAACTGTTTCGTATCATTAATATTCAAACGTACGAGTACGTACGAGTACGTACGAGTACGTATGTAGCCAAAGCTACGACGACGATTGAAACTGGCCAGTTATGTACACGTAAATGATCGCTAGTGCAGTGCGGTTGGAGCTCGCAGCGTTTAATTAATGCCACGCTCGGCTTACCACGGGCCGGCGGTTACCCGCGTAGACGTTGCCGCACCGCGCGCCAATTGGTGGCGATTAAAAATAATTTCCATTTCTGTTGTCGTTTCCATCGTTATGGCGTGACGCGATGCGAATAATTTCCCCGCGTAACGGTCGCGAATTAATTTCAGGTTGCGTTCGCGTATTGAACGTCGCTATTGACACAATTGATTTGCATAATATAATATATGTCTATAATCTGACGTTAAATCTTCTTTTACGACAACGTTTTCAGCATTATATTAATTATATTTTTATGACCGTTTGTACTTCTAATATATAAAATTCTCCTGTCACGGTGTTTGTAATTGAACTCCTCCGAAACGGCTCGACCGATTTCTGTAAATCTTAGCGTGCATATCGGCCAAGGTGGAGAATCGGACAACATCTATTTTTCATCCCCCTAAATTTTTTAAAAGTTTTTTATAGTGCTAATCTCTGCACTTAAGATTGAACATTAAAACACGTAGAAAAAGTACGAAAAGATTGTCGCCGCTGTGGGAATCGAACCCACGTCTTCGGCATTCGCGGCCTGACGCTCTAGCCACTGAGCTAAACGGCTGATAGCCACAGCGACGAAAATGATGATGAATGCTTGGCGCATCTATTGTTATATCCTTTCCAGCATACAAACAATTTCGAATATCATTTTACAACGATAATCCGAACGAGAGATGCCGCCATTGCTTTTTTTTTTATAAATCACAGCGGCGACAATCTTTTCGTACTTTTTCTACGTGTTTTAATCCCCCTAAATGTTAACGGTGGTCCACCCCTAATTTTTTTATATATTTGTTTTTGTTTTTTTTTTTTTTTGAACAAGCATACAAATATACATACAACCCTAAATTTTCACTCCTCTATGCAGACGTAGTCGCGGGCAGCAGCTAGTTGTTTCTATAGTCCTAGTTGTCTTATCTACGTAATGGTGTAGTGGTTATTGAACCTGACTCTTACGCCAGAGGGTGTAGGTTCGATCAATATGTAAGTATTTATTTACAAAAGAAAAGTACGTTTCTCAGAAATCTAGTACCCATATTATAAGATTTTTTATATCATTTTCAGGACAAATGTTTACACAACGTTATCTAGTGTCTACATCATCAAACATTTGTCCTGAAAATTTTATTTAAAATTTTCTGTTCAATATCACCACGATCCTAGGCAAGGCGACTCAAGATAGCATCGTTTCCATCTAGAAGATTAGCAATCCACCATCCTGCATTTACCTTATACAATATTGAGACTGCAGAAGGGCCACTCATTAGTCTCTTCTGTTACACAAATGTTCAGGCTCTTCCGGGGAGGTATCACGACCTCACTGAAGACCGGCGTGAAGTGGAAGATTTATACTTCTGCGTTTAGTGAGTGAGGTAACCGGGCCCAATTTCTTAAAAAGTGGCAATGCATCTGCAACGCTAACGTGTTGCATGTTTATTAGCGGCTATTACTACCTACCTGATCTATAGCGCAGGCTCGCTTGCCATCTTCTTACATTAAAAAAGTCATTTTGCAACTGCATGGTATTGCAAACGTCCATGAGTGGTAGCGATGATATTCAATCTGGTGAGCCACTTCCTCGCTGGCTTCAATAAAAAGATATAGAGAAATCACGGTAAGAGATAGAAAATTTAAACTTCTTTCATTAGGTTGCAGTTGCTGCATATTTATGATAGTTCCGTTACCAACGATTACCTATTTTTTTCTTACTGATAAAATCTTAAGTTACCACAAACGCCGAAATCGGACATTGGAAAATTCTGATCAATACACAACTAAAGTTTTTATTAAAAAATAAAATAAACTGCTAAGCTAATATCTACTTATTTATTTATTTAAGAAGGCTTACCAAGTTAATACATATAGAAACAATTATTATTCTGATGAGATGCACTTAAAAATTAAGTTAAACATTGTATACATACATTTAAATTAATGGTAAATGGGAATATTAGATTTCCCTTAAGGAGAACAGAACTAGCACTATAATAAGATAATAAAATTAGAACAAAAAAACTATCTTATATAATGTATAAATAGAAAAAAGAGAGGAAATAAAAAGAAACTTTTAAAATATCACAAAGAGAACGCGTAGATGTACGTTTTAATGTTTGTAACTTTAACATCGTCTATGTTACATATTATGTATACGTGTAAATTCCTAAATTACTGGTTGTTAGAAACCTAAGGAACGCAAATTCAATTAGGAACAAAGGTTATTACGCAAATGACTGCAAATGACAGGCTTTGCATAATTAGACGACATTGGTAATTGTCAAGTATGTAGCCCACTCATGTTCAGTTATGTGGTAACATACATCACTGTTTGCGAAAAAGACGGTCTAAATGTGTTTCGAATTCTACGAATATCTTTAGTGTTTTTATCATTTATTATTGTATTATTAATAAATTGTAGATATTGATATTAATAAACATATCAATTATATAAATAAAGGAACTTTAAAATAAAAAGCAATAATAAATCATTTTCATAATCATACTGAAGTTCACATATTCATTTCATTTCATACTCTTCTAGAAGATAGAAGAAAAATTCAGTAATAATTTTATACATTTCTCCCACGTGTTGCGTACCAACACAAAAATTTTGTTTCTACTTTATAAAAATACGTTTCTAGTTTATGAAAATATTACAACAAACTACACTAATTTGGCATGATCTAACAGATTTACTCCCGAAAAGGCGATGCTTAATTATTAGGTACCTATATAAATTATAAGAGCCACGCATTCCTATTATATTAACCTGATTATTACATGTATTAAAATCAAGTCGTAGTTGAGTTTACTTACATCAATCCGAAGGTTCTGGCGGTAAACGGAAATAGATTTGAAGTGC